TCCAAAGCAGGCCCAATATCTGCCCGAAGAAATATTAACCACAGTTTTAGAATTGAAGTTTCAACTCGTCAGTTAATTCATTAGAATGTACTCTGAAAGATAGCACTCTTATAACAAACTAAGAGGTCTTCTATAGAATTTTTGGTACTTCAGAGAATTTAAGTCTAAATGCTTTACCGAAAGATTAGCAGCGAAACTGAGCCTTTACAGATAATAGGTTTGCTTCAGTATAAGTGTTGTGCACGTTTTTTTCCCAGAACAAATCCAGCATCTCAATACGAATATCATTTGTGATAACATAATAATAACAGAAGATTGTTTTGCATTTTTCAAAAGTGTCTGCTTGTCACTTTCTTGCTATTTGCATATATTGTCAACCAAGATCTGGACAATACTGAATAGATTAGATGAATTACTAGCTTATCTTTCTGAAAGAAACTAATGAACCAAGAAAACAAACACTAGAATGATTATAGTTTTACTTTCATTGTTAATATCTGAAGTAGTCCGATAATCGGTTAATAAGTACCAACTGATTGGAGTTGCGAACAAATTTTAGAAAATATTTCCATGCTTGAGTAATCTTGAGACAGAATTTTTCTATTGTAATTCATGTGGATGAACATATGTTAAGAATTGATAGTTTGGATTATAAATTTTATCTTGCATTTGTGTGAAATCTCCTCATCATGAGGGCGAATCATCAATGAAATTATATATAGCAACAATTGAATCGGAAGCATATGTTCTTAATTTTGACAGTTCTTTCATTTCCGTAGCATTGGGCTTGTGGAAATAATAAAATTCCACATCAACAAGCTTCTTATCATACAACAATATAATTTTTTGCCGCCATTTTAATTTTCTTTTGGTCGTAAGTTTGCTTATAAAATTTTGCCCAAATAGGAATTGGGGACCAGAAACATTCATGAGATGTATATTTTTGTCATTGGAATACCATCAGAGGCGAATTAAGCGGCTGGCCGCCAGGGCCCCTGTGAGCACATTGTTATCTGGAAATATAGTTTTTTCTAAATAAGGAACTAATATCAATAAAAAATTATTACAGTTAGCTCAATAAAATATTGTAATCAGTAGTCCAACTTGTAAAAGATGTAACACTTTAATTTTTTTTATTTTTTCCTGTTTGAAATTATGTACTACTAAAACATCCTGAAAACGACTACACCTGTAGTTCCAAGAAATTTTGCACTCCCATAAAGAGGATCGCCTTACAGAAAATGATTACCATTTCCAAAAAGTGCTAGTTCGGATACTTTCCGGAAGTGGAACAGTTTTAAAGCCCTTTTGACAGTCTATCTTTTACTGACAACTGTGAATGAGCTTTAAATGAATGGCTCATTTTCTAACCAAGTTTGCCACTCTATACACAAAAGTCGTAAATGACTTATAAATCAAACCTCTCCCATATGGCTCTCAAATTTTAAACAATGCTCACTCTCTTCAGTTTCAGTTTGCTTTGTTAATGTTTATTCGGGGAAACATTATTCCTATGCCTTATTGGTTAACTAGGTAAGTAGAAGCATTTATTTAATAATATAATGTTACTAATAATACAATGTCGTTTTATAGCAATGTTTGCGATTTAGATGGCATATCAGTTTTATTACAATTTCATACTTGTCAACCTACGACACTCAAAAATCAGAAGACTTTTTTAAGAAATCAGATTTTTCACGATGTTAAAAAGACTTTTTAAATGATAAAAATATAGCTTTTAATAATGAATTAACTTTAAATAGTTACTAATTCTTAAATGCAAGCAACACAAAAAAACTTTACACACACACACAAAAAAAAAAAAAAAAATTATTCTTGCATCGTTTAGGGGGGGGGGGAGACACTTTAATCAGTTTTCCTAAATGTTAGAACGTGGCAGATTTGTTCCTTAAGAAAGAAAACTTCATAATTTGTTCAGCAATTGCCCACATAGGCTGCTTCGCTATAAAAGTTTTCTTAATACGTCATCACTAATATTATTTATGCAGCTGTTGAACTGTTTCAATTTTTCCTTCCTTTTAGAACTCCTTTCAAGAGAATATAAATATCAACAATGTGTTTTGGTCCTTGCCTTGACTATTTCTTAGCAATTTCACTATCGGGGAAACATTTTTCTAAATAAAGCTGCAGCGTGATCCTATGCATCCAGTGGCAAGTTGTGCTCCAGAAAAAGGCAGAGAACAGACATTCTGTATTAATAGCTTTTTGATCCTTTGTTTCCAAGAAAAAAATTTTCGTTTTTTTCAAAACAACTCACGTTGTCCTTGTGTTTTTGTGTACACACGATTGAGAACATCCGCCCTTTCACCATGCGAAATCGAACAATCGCAACGACAGATGATACACATCGCAAATTTATTGCATTTCCTTGAGGAAATAAACGGAAGGAAAGTCAACTGTGTACTATTTTTGAAACATTACACGAGTATTTGACCTTTCCCAGAGATAACAAAAGATGATAATTTCTAAAACTATTTCCCGAAGGCATGTGTACTCGCACAACTCAGGACAAGGTGAACGAATTAACCCCTTAACGCATTTGCCCGTGTCTCACACGGGCGAAAGTTTCCGGAAAATTTGCACATGCCCGTGTCTCACACGGGCGCCCTTGTATCTCGCGTTATTTTATTTCTAATGCTTGTCTGAGATCCGTTCCAGTAAAAATAGATAGGCTAGATTATAATTAAACTTATTTGACATAGATGGCACCACTATTCAGCATTTTTCTTGTGTAAACCACGTGGTGAATTTTGATGATTAGCTATGTTTGCTAGGAATTCTTTGCTATTAGTTTAAAAAGTAGTTGTTTGGTGTGGAAAAGGTAATATATCCATTTTTATTACGTAAATATAATAAAAGTAAGCAGTTAACCTGCAAATTAACTTATTACTAAGCGTTTTTGTAATTGTTTGGAAAAAGTTATCTGATAATGAGCGGACTCTGACGATGATGATTTTGAATATGCCAACTTATCAGACAATTTCAGCGATTAAAGTGATGATTTCTTGAATAATGGAAGTGAATCGGAAGATAATGATGACGATATTTTGGATATAGCAAGAAAGAAACTGGTATCAAAATTAGTACAAATCAACCAAACGTTGCACCACCGATATTTCGATTTGAAGCAAACCCTGGCTGTTGTTTCTTAAAATGCACTAGAGAATATGATTATGCAAGAAAAAAAATAGGTGATATTTTGACCGAAAATTAGAAATTAATGTGTGCCTTAAGGGGTTAACTAAAGAAAATACAAATAACAACCTTGAGCTTGCTTTGTGCTCATTGGCTGATATATATGCCAAATGACATGCAGTGGAGCTCGATGCCCATTGGAAAACTGGAGAAGGACGTTTCTGGATACGTATGCTCTCACTCACAAAGCAGAAGAAGTTCTCATCTGATTCACAAGGTTTTGTTTTAGATATAATCTAGATAAAATTCAATTGCTTTCAGACGTCCAAAATCCACCCCCCTTTTTTTTCATATAACGAAGTATTAAGCAAAGTTCCATAAAAATCGTGAGAAATTTTAAGAAAAAGTCTGGAGAAATATATTGTAAATCGGGTTGGCGGGAGAATGGTCGAAAATCTGGAATCTCCCGCCTAAATCAGGAGAGTTGGCAACTCTGCAATTTAAAAAATCACCATATAATGAAGATTAATTAGAATTTTAAAATTTTAATATTTTGAATGAAAATAAATGTTCTCAAATTTAAACATTTGTTTAATTTAGCTTCATTTAATACTAAAAGATTCTTCCAGTAAATCTGATCTGGAATGAAGCTTTGCTTAATTATGCCGCATACTGTTTTTCACTTATCTTTCACATCATAGCCAAAGTGGCACACATAAAGGAAATACAGGTTTCTTAAAATATTTTGTAGTAGTAAGTTTATTAACGCTTACTAAATGATGCTTCAGAAGGAATATACTATGTACAGAGTTGCTACACTACCTGGAAAACTGACTAGAAAGGTCAGAGAATTTAATTATTTTAGTTAAAATGTGGAAAAGTCGGGGAATTTCATACAGCGATTCTCTAAAGAGATTTTTATGCCAGCGTTGGATACATGGCCAGTAACATCAATTCATGTCAGAAATGACATCATCTATGGCATTTGGGACTACTGGCATCCACTTGAAAGTAGATATTTAAGCAATGCACCATTGTTTTGCATTTTCTTGAAGTTTCAAAATATTGCCAAATTTTGTCAGGAAATTCAGGATTGAAACGTTCATACTTTTACCTGCATTTATTATGACATAACAGCTAACAGCTAATTTTAACTGATAGTATTCTTTCTGAATGTATAAAAGTAGCTGTATTTTGTTCAAATTAATGAAGACTTTAAGGATAGTATGCTATCCCTGTGAATGAGTTGGGAAGTCAAGTGGAGTTTATATTAATGCAGGTAAAGTGGCAGATTGACTTCACGTGGAGTGTTAGTGTAGCCCCATAGACCACATTAACCTTTTAAATATACCACATTTTAGAAGCTTCAGTTATTTTTTTGGGGGGGGGGTTGAATTCAATAATATTTATATTTTGAATATTTCCTAATATAAAAAAGTTCAGTGATCACAGGAAATAAAGATCTACACATCCATTTTATATAATGGCATATACAAATAAAATATTTATTCTGAACATGAAAAATACAATTTACATTTTATAGATAACTTCATAGCCAATGCTCACATTTTTTCATTTTTGACTGCAAGTTTCTGCTTCAAATCCAAGTCTTCAATCAAATCTTCCTTTCGCAACTGCTTCACACAGCCAGTAACTGGACATCTGTTTAGAATAATGCATACATAAATTAGGTTTCTTTGTAACAAGCAAGTATGCATTTTGATTTAATAAACTAATCATAAAAAGTTAACAGACACATTAAGAAATGACATTCCTAGAAATGGAATGTAATTTTTCTGATTATGGTTGCTTGCTAAGTTCTTTTTATAATAATTTAAATAGCAAAAATCAAAAAGCAAGAATCAATATTTTCCATATATAGCATCTTTATTATTCTTTGTAGCCCTCACTAACTCCTTACTGATTTTATGGCATGACAACTTAGAAGCTAAACTGAAACTAAAAGTGAAGTGAAAGTAGTACTCATTATCTAGTAGAAGTAGTTGTAGTTATTATGACCAATAATAATTGTTGCCTACATCACTCCCCTACCAGTAACAAAGTTATGTTACTCTGAAAACATGGTGGGAGAGAAGATACAAATATCTATACAAATAACACTGATACAAATATATAAATTGAAATTATGTACACAAAAAAAAAAAAAAAAAAAAAAAAAAAACATAAGTTTTAAATTAATATGAAAGAGTTATAAGTTCAAGAAGAATCAATAATGTCATTGAAACGAACTGGAAGTTTTACTTGTCTTCCACATCGTGTTAATTTTGTAGGTTGTTCTAGTTGCTGACTTGGCACAGATGTATGATCACTTTTTGAAGTTGGAGACAAAAGTTCATTAGGTTGTAACACATAAGCTGGTTTTAAACTATCCACAGAGCTACTAACTTGTTTATTTTTAATTGATAGAAGAAAATATTTCGGGGTTCTTTGCAGTACTAAAAAGGGTCCTTCATATGGGGGCTCCAAAGGTTTTTTTACTCTGTCAACTTGCAGAAACACGTGCGAGCATGTGTACAAATCTTTTGGGATGAAAATATTTTGTTTACATTTGGATTTGGATTGATAGGGCTTTAAAAGGGCCATCTGATTTCGAAGATTACTTATAAAATTATCATTAGATATTGGCATGTTTGATTCATTCGCCAGGTAATTTAATAGTTTTGCCATAAACCATTTCAGCTATTGTATACTTACAGTCCTCATGCAGAGCAGCTCACAAACCCATAAGAACTGTTGGTAATGTTTCTGTCCAATGAAGAGAATTATGACATCTAATAGCTGCTTTTAAAGTACGGTGTAGACGTTCAATTTTCCCATTACTCTGAGGATGGTAAGAAGTTGTATGGTTTACTTTTACTCCACATAGCGAAGCCGCCAAATTTCGAAACAGTTCCGAAATGGAGTTCCTCTGTCAGTAAGTAACACAAGAAGGTACACCAAATCGTGTTATCCAATGTTCATTAAAAGGCTCTTGCTATATTTTCTGCTGTGATATTTGATAACGGGTACCACTTCCATCCAAGAGGTAAACTGATCAATACACGTCAAACAATAAGTGTATCCTTAGAAGGTGAATAAGGCCCATTAAATCAATGTGCACAACACTAAATCTTCGTCTGGTGCTTGATATTGAGAATATTCTGATTTTGTATGTTTAGTTACTTTATTTTTCTGACAATCGATACAAGTTTGAGCCCACTGTTTAAACATCTTTTTTTATATCCGACCAAATGAATCTTTTAGTAATCTCTTTTACAGTACTTCGGATTCCAGGGTGAGCTAAACCATGAATTGCATTAAATATTTCCATCCGAAAAGTTTGAGGTATGAATGGTCTGATATTAGAAGTAGAGGTATCGCAATATAAGAGTTTTCCTGATGGTAATTGGTGCTGTTTAATATGCAATGATTTGGAATGTAATTTCAACTGTTGCAGTTCATCATCATTAATTTGTGCATCTGCTATCAGGTCAAAATCAACAACAGCTGAATCGATGTCCTCAATTCTAGATAGGCTGTCTGCAACCACATTGTTTTAACCACTTATATGGCGCAAGTTAGTAGAGAATTGTGAGATATATTGTAGCTGTCTTAGTTGTCTGGGAGAGGCTTTGTTATTATTTTGCTTAAAAGCAAATGTTAAGGGCTTATGATCCGTATAAATAGTAAAATCACGGCCTTCAAGTAAATGTTAAAAATGTTTAACGGATAAATATATACCCAAAAGCTCGCGATCGTAAGCACTATAATTTTTCTGGGCATCATTAAGCTTTTTTGAAAAAAATGCAATAGGTTTCCATCCATTTGGTTCTTTTTGTTGAATAACTGACCCCAATAGCCAAATCGGATGCATCTGTGAGAAGTGCCAGATGGTAATCCGAATTGGGGTAGGCCATCAACGCTACTTGAGCAATATCTTGTTTACATTTTTCAAACTTTTTCTGGTTTCATTGGTCCATAGTATTTTACGTCGATCTTTTTTTGTAGATCCTTTCAAAAGTTCATGAAGAGGAGCTTGAGTTTCTGCGGCATTTTTTAATGTAATTACGATAGAAATTGATCAGTCCTAAGAAGGAACGAAGTTGGTGTATAGTTTCGGGAAACGGATATTCTGTGATAGCTTTAATTTTTTCAGGTAGAGGTTTTGAACCTTCAGCAGATATTTGATAGCCCAAAAAGTCTATTACAGGTACTAACTCCCAAAACTGATTTGCTAATATTAATTCGGAGACCATATTTATCTAAACGCTGGAAAATTGTTTTTAAGATGTAAACGATGTTCTTCCTCGCAAGAAGAGGCAATCAACACATCATCCAAATATGGAAACACAAAGTCTAGGCCATAAAAAACTTCATTGATGAACCTCTGAAAGGTTCGAGGGGGCATTTTTGAGACCAAAACTCATGAACATTTGAATTGGTAAAGACCAAAAGGTGTGATGATAGCAGTTTTTTCTTTATCTTCGTCTGCTACTGGAATGTGAACATACGCCTTTAAACGAGATCAATTTTACGAAAATATAGTTTTATGAGTTAAAATATGTTGAAAATCTTGAATTCGAGGGAATAGGATAACGATCAGGTACAGTTAAATCAGTCAGTCTTCTGTAATCCCCACACGGGCGGAAAGAACCGTTTTTCTTTGTCACTATGTGTAGGGGACTTGCCCATTCTGAACTGGACGGACTAATGATGTTATTTGTCCAGCATATATTTGAATTCTCTTTTAAGCTTTTTCCAACCGTTTAGAGTCTAATTGGTCTTGCTTTACAACTTACAGGTTGTTCCTTTAGTTATAATATGATGTTTCACATTATGCTTTACAGTAGAAATAAGAAAATTTGGTTTTGTTATACTAGGATACATAGCAAATAAATCAGAATATTTACATAAGCTGCCCGTTGTATTTACAGTTTCATGAATAGAGATGCGTGTGATGTCACCATAAACTGCAAGGTTCGTCACACCATCAATTAGCCTTTTATGCTTTATATCAATCAATAAATTGAACTTATTTAAAAAATCTGCACGTAATATGGGTTTACTAATTTTTGCTACAATAAATGGGAATTGAAATTCTCGGCGTAAACCAAGATCAAGAATTAAAACTTCTGTACCAAAAGTATCAATTTCTGTATTATTTGCAGCATATAATTTATAGTCACTAATAAGTTTGTGTTTAGAAGTACGAGGAATAAGGCTTACCTCTGCTCCACTGTCAACCAGAAAATGTAAACCTGTTTTTTTGTCCGTGATAAATAAGCGGAATTTACGGCAATTTTTTTTATTTACAGCAGCAGAGTCTGCCGCTAATTCTACTGCTGATTTTCGTTTTCCGGGGAGTTGTTTTTCCATGCACAGGGTTTGCATCTATCTCGAAAACGAAAGTGGAAGTAACAGTACTTGCCATTAGGGTTATAACGGCTCAGAGATTTACTTCAATTATTAGATGATCGACTGCTATTTCTTGAGCGAGACCGAGAATTTCTTGTCACAGTTAGTTTTTCGAATTTATTATCCAAAGCTGCAATTTGTTGTCCTAATTCAGCAATAGCATCTGTTCCTGGAGAAACAATACTGCTGGCACAGTATAGTTCTTGTTTTGGTTGCATTTCGATGATACGATCCGCCATCAGAGCTAGTTTTTCGATATCTTCATCACTAACGATTAAAATATTGCGCACAGTATCTGGCATTTTCTGCAGAAATAGTGTTTTAAGAACTTTATCCGAAATGCCATCGGTAGCAAGATTTCGCATTTTTTGTAAAAGTTGACTAGGTTTACTGTCTCCCAAGTCTATGCCTGTTAGCAGTCTCTGTAAACGTTTATTTTCACTTTCTTAAAAGTGTTCAAGAGAACGTTCTTTAGCAGCAGTATTTGGTTTTGCTATTGTCACTTATAATATCCCATAAACTTTCAACAAATTTTGCTTCCAATTGCGATACTAAGTAGATGAATTTAGTTTCCTCGGCAGTTATTCCACAAATAGAAAACTGTGCTTCTACTTGATAAAACCATATCTCTGGCTTTTCAGCCCAAAAGGGAGGTATTTTAACACTTACCCGTGCTATTTCTTCTTTAATCGCCGATTCTTCACTTTCTGACATCTTTATCAATAATTCCGAGGTCACCAAGTATATGGTTGCTTGCTAAGTTCTTTTTATAATAATTTAAATAGCAAAAATCAAAAAGCAAGAATCAATATTTTCCATATATAACATCTTTATTATTCTTTGTAGCCCTCACTAACTCCTTACTGATTTTATGGCATGACAACTTAGAAGCTAAACTGAAACTAAAAGTGAAAAAGTAGTACTCATTATCTAGTAGAAGTAGTTGTAGTTATTATGACCAATAATAATTGTTGCCTACATGATTCTGTTTGTATTTTGTGAGCCCATAGTGAGAAGAAAATGACAGCTGATGTGATGTTAAGCAAAGCTGGAGGGGAAATAATACATGAAATACAGTAACCTTCAATTAAACAGAACTAAAATCAATAAACTTTTCAGAATTTGACCAATCTAACAAATATAGGAGGGAGGAAAAAAAGTGTTCAGGCATAAACTTTGATAAAAAAAATTTTTTACAGCCATAGAGATGGATGCGATCATAATGTGACAATGATTCATACATAGAA